TGGCTTCTTGGTTTTGTGCCATTTTTTACAACCCCGCTAGACTAACTCAGCTGGTGGGGAGTAATTTGAGTCTCCCCTGAGGTAGCTATGCCAGTTAGCAAAGAAGAACCATCTTTAGTGTTCTGTGGCATAGCTCTTTCCATGAGTTTGGTGCTAGCCTTTGGATTCTGGATCTATGTGCTCTCTGTCCTCCTTCATTCAGATTCCTCCTTGGACCTGAATAGGATCAAGCAGAGCTTGAATTAAGCCATATCCAGTGTTCCTAGATTGGCTTGGAACTATTTAAAATTAAAAGATTAAAGTAAATAATTAAACTTTATTTACTCAAGTTTTTCAGTCATCCATTGTCAGGTTCATTCAACATTTTCCAGCTCACTGTTACCCTGAATCTTGTCTAGAACTGAAATAAAGTAGAAGCCTTGTTTTTCATGAATAGGGTGAATAATTTTTTTTTTAATATTAAGGATTCTAAAGAAGCATCACTGGGGTTTTGAGCCTTCATTGAAGCATAGATAATTTTCATGTCAACAAATATTAGCATTAATAAATTTTTTAATACTTATTAAGGACAACCTAGTTCTAGATTCACCATCAGTGTAGGAAGAGAATTTGAGAATTTGGGTCAGTTTTGAGGAAGAATATCCCACTGATTTTCCTAGAAAGCCCTATCTCCCAAGGAGAGGAGAAAACTCATTTCCACAGCATCATCTCATTTTTTCCCATTGCTTTAATGATTTTTATTTTGATCTACATTAATCAGGAACAAAGAAAAAAATAGACATTTCTTTGTTTTCTCATAAATAACTAATCTCCATAATTTTATAAAATCTCAGATGATTTTACCTTTTCACATCAAATATATATACAAAAAATTTTTTAAAGTAACAAAGTCAGCAATTTAAGTATCTGGAGACTAAGCATTAACATAAAACTGTTTTGTCTACTGAATACAGGGCACAAAATAACCACTCCTTGAGTGATGGATTCAGAATTATAATCACATTAATAACTTATGGATCCAAGTTGATTGTCTGAAATGTAGAACTACCACTGCTGAGTGGTCCCCCTATTCAGTAAGACATGATTTGTCAGGATGGTAGTTACTGTATTGCAGTGGAATAGGCACTATACAAATTAAACAGCTATCAGAGAAATTATTAATGCCCTGGACTCAACTAACTACTGACTCATTTGGCTCAGTAATTAATTCACCTGCACCAAACCCGTATCAAAGGTCACTAAATCTCTCATATATATAATATATATTTATATTATGTATATATGTATATATATGTATATATACACACACATACACACACACAACCACAAAACAAAATTACATTTACATAGTTTGTAACAACATCTGTCTCAAAAGATGTACCATACACTGTTGGTTAAAATGGATCCAAACGTGGAATTTCCCATCCTATCCTGCTCTTCCGTTATCCTCCTAATGCCTTGATAGCTATTTGAACCCCCATAAACCTGTTTGAACCCTGTACGCCAGTTAGGAGTACGCCAGTTGCTATGTCCCAGGCTGTCTGAAAATTAGGAAAGACTATCAGAGATCAGGTTAACTGTCCAGGGCCCCCCACCCCTGTCCAGACGTGTGAGGTGTGTGTTGTTTACAGTCCTGATTACACATATATTCCAATTGTGTCAAGAAACAGGTTTTCAGAGTTTCTCCCTTTCTGCCTCTTATTCATCCTATAGAAAACAAAAGTAAACAAGGCCCTTTTAAGGTTCAGGTAGCAGTTAATTAAAAATATACAAGTAGATTTCTTAGCTTTGGGATTCTCATTCTGTGCATGAGAATGCTGTTATTAAGGTCCTATGTGTGAACCAAGAGGCTTTCTCTCCTAGCAGCCAGTGGTACAATGAGTGCAGCCCTGGCTTAGTGTATTGTAATGAATGTCCCACTTTGTAAACTGTTTTGCACCTTAAAAACACACAAACAAAACACACACACACACACACAGAGTTGGGAGGCAAGTTCACAGATTCCATAGAAAGGGGAAAGAGCTTTGTATAGATGACAAACCAAGAAGGCACCTCCCAGTAATTTAGACAATTTCAAACTGTGATAACTCAGTATAAATAATATAAATTCAACAAGTTTCCTGAAAACTTGTCACCTTAATTTAATATATGGATTATTGAAGTGACAATTCTGCCCCCTCAGGGTAGCTTGCTTTAGTATTATGATCTCTAATTTATAGTGCTTCAACTTGAACCAAGGAAAGGCTGCTGGGTATAGCTGGGCTTAAACTGAAAAACACCCCTGTCTGTAGTGGTAGAGGAGGCTGCCAGCCTTGGTAGTGACTCAAACGTCCACCTCAGTCTAAAGCAGAGATGGCATGGGGGGGGGGGTGGCTACATAGTGTCACAAGTAATGGATTTGAAAGGCTGATACTTGTCAAAATACCCATGAAGGTGAGATAACAGCATAAGACTTGGGAAAGGCATTAAGGTTTTGTCTCTTTCTGTTTTAAAAGGCAAAAACTTAACAGGTTTTTAAGGCAACTAACAAAGAATAAGGATGGGAGGCTTTAGGGGGTAGAAGAATTCATTTAACAGCAGCAATACCCTTACCTATCCATGAAAGTGCAAAGATGAGAAATTTAACCCTGTAAGTACTGCCTAGCTTCAGAGAAGTTTTGCCCTCTACAGTGGTAGCCTGTTTTCATTTATTAAAATGTAGGTTTAAAAAAAAACAACTACCTAGCAAACCTGCCTGCAGTTGGCATTTTGGCAAACTACCCAGATTTTTTCACTTTCTCCACCTCATTCCACAACCTACATTTCTATACAGAAAATACAAAATTACAAAAGGCCAACCCAAATTGGAAACAATTTTAACTAAAGGCTAATAGGTGTACTATCAAAATGAAACTGACTGGGTGCCGGAAGGAAATCCCAACAGTGACCAGTGAAAGCGCTTCCTCCATGAAGGGTTTTTGGCTTTAAAGGGAAATACTCTCCAGAAGAATCCATATGAGGCTCTCAAATAAAGCAGAGAGAGAAAAGGGTACGGAGCAATGCCACTCCCCCGTTCCCCACCTCCCCTAGAAAGAACCAAACTTGCTGTTGCAACTGCTTTTCCATTCTGAGGTCCAGTCCTCACTACTCAAAACTAGGTTAGACTCTAAGCCCTTGAATTCTCATCTCTCTTATCTCCAGGTAAGAGATCACCTGTATAGAGTTGGAAGCTAGCACGTGCTAGCAGTCCTTATGACATGAAAATTGTGTTTGGTGCTTCAAAAAATGTAATTTTCTCACTACAAAGAATTCATGCTTTCTGAGGACAGACTTAGGGGTCTAGAAAAAACATTTTTCCTAAGGATATTATCCTTATCCTAACTACCAGTCCCATGTTTTACCCAGGCAAAACCCATCTACATTTGTTCCTATTAGGGACTGTGCATTTTTCAGTACTTAGGCCTGAGGGGGAAAAAAACCTGCATTGGCATACATTTCTTCACTTTACCCATGTGTATATGTAATGTCAGTGCAAATAATAACTGAAAGGACTGGGCCTCTCATATTAAGAATTTGCTTTCCAGACAACTAGAGTAAATTTTCATTGCTTTGGGTATTCAGTTTGCTGAAGTTCAGCTCTCACTAAGTCTTGTTTAAAAAAAAAAAATCATGAGTGGTCTCCCCCCTCCTCTGCTTTTGATAGTGGTTAATTAGATTGGGAAAGCAAACATGGACTTTTGAGACTGCTCAGGGACCAACCTGTAAAGTATGTACTCATTTGTTCTCTCCTTACCAGACAAAAGCTTTTAGATTAATATTGGGAGAAGCTTGCTGGGGCAGTGGCCTCCCAACAGGCTACGCTGCAGAAGACTAGTGGAGGCTATGGAAGACACAGAGCCCCATGAATTAGCTAGACAGTGATCCCAGGCAGCTTTGAAACCAGTTGGCCTTAAACTTGTCCAGAAGTCGGAACATTTCTTTTTCCTTCTTTGCTATGCCCTTCTTCTCTAGCTCCTCACCCCTGGATTTCTAGATTTGTAAAGCCCAGGGAAGGCAGGACTGCATTCCTTACTGGCCCAAACTGCCAGTGCCCCCAGGGAACAAGGGGGAGGAAAATGAGGGAGTGGACGAGAAAGAGGTGCTGCTAAGCTGCAGTGCTCATGGAAGGATAGACCAATGGAATGCCTCAGAGCCAAAAGGGCAGTTTACAGTGTCAAGTCAAAGTGAGAGGCAAAAGGATCCTGGTAAACCACAAGGGTCAATGTCTGGACTACACTATTCAAATCCCTCCCGGGTTAACAGATAGTATTCTGATAATCCACTCGATGAGGGGCTGGTGGGGGTGTTTGTTTAGATGGTTGTGGCAAAGAAAAACACGGATGAATACATGTTTAAAGAGATTTCTCCCATTCCTCACCCTAAAATACTAAAAAGATTAAGATGTAGTTTCTATGTGGCAACAACCAAACTAAGTACTTCCATAAGTAGGTAACTTACTTAAGTTTTCCTGGCATTAGGCAAATTTCCCTTTTAAGTAAGTCCGACACCACTTGAGTTGAAGTTCCTCCCTCTCGACCCAACAGCCAACAAGTTTCACAAGGCTTGAAAATTACAGCTCAGCCAACCTAGTTTCTAAGCCTCCAAAAGTTTGCCTCAGATAGTTTAAGGGAATTACCTTTAACTTAAAGGTTACACTATGCCTCCAGAACCAAAATTCCTGGAGAATGGGATGCAGCAAACAAGCCTGAGAAACAAAAGTTGCCATCTTTCCCTTCCCCGCAGCCTTGTCACTTTGGAAGACCCTAAATACATGAAGTTTCAAAGCACTTCGATAAAATTTCGCACTTTCCCAGTTCCGAGGAACGTCTAGCCACGCAGAACAGACACGATTAGCCTTAAACACACAAGAACACTTTGTACTGGCGTGGGTTGGAGACAGGCCTATTGGCCCCACCGCTCCACAATCAGACAAACTTACCCTGTTCACATTAAAAAACAAAACACAGATCTTTTTCAGGGCATAACAGGCTAGAAACAAGTTCATAAAAAATGGATACAGTTGAACTTCATTATAATGCCCAGTCTCAGCATTTAAAGCCAGCCCTCCCTCCTCCCCAAAGCCAAGGTAGGGTTCATTGCCAAAAAGCAACTTGTACCCACAGAGGATTGAAAATGAGAAAATTTTTTAAAAATTATATTTAAAAAGCGAGGTCCCTTCAGAAGTCTCGGGACTATCTATCTTGTGTTCCACCTCAAAATTGTCTCTTCTCCCTCCTCCCAAATTCCGAAGTGAAGCAGCAGCAGCAGCAGCAGCACCATGAAGTCAAAACAAATGACCTGTTAAAAAGCTACCAAAATCGGCTGTTCTAAACAACTCCCCCGACCTCCCGCAATCCCATGCCTCCAACACCCAGCCCTTCAGCCTTCGCGTGGCCAGCCCGGCTGCGCTACACGTGAGACAGGGACACCTGCTTGTGGTAGGCGGGCGCACCTGGGCAGGGGGCCCCGGTCCTGCAGCCGGTCAGGGCTGCGCTGGCCTCCGCGTAGTCCCGGGCGGCCGTGGCCCCGCCCGACTTGTGGCCCCGCCGCGGGCGGCAGCAACAGCGGCTGGTGAAGCGCCTCCAGGACTCCACCGTCTTCCCCGACCAAATCCACACCCCCGAGGTGATGCCCACGAGCAGGCACATTAAGTACTTGAGCATGAGCACCCAGTACTCGGGCTTGGCCCGGGGCTGCCCGGGCTCCGCCGAGGGGCACGGGCAGGTGATGGCCCGCTCCCAGCTTTCCCGGGAATGCTGCTCATACAGGTAGCAGGCCACCACGATGCTGGCCGGCACTGTGTAAAGCACGGTGAAAAGGCCGATGCGGATCATCAGCTTCTCCAGCTTGTCCGTCTTGGTGCCTCCCTGCTTGATGACGCTGCGGATGCGGAAGAGGGACACGAAACCCGCCAGCAGGAACAGCGTGCCCGTGAGCAAGTAGACCACAAGCGGGGCCAGCACGAAGCCCCGCAGGTAGTCCAGGTTCTGGTTGCCCACGTAGCAGATGCCGGCCACGGGGTCGCCGTCCACAGCGCTCAGGGCCAGCACAGCGATGGACTTGACGCTGGGGATGAGCCAGGCTGCCAGGTGGAAGTACTGCGAGTAGCCCGCGATGGCCTCGTTGCCCCACTTCATGCCGGCCGCCAGGAACCAGGTGAAGGAGAGGATGACCCACCAGATGGAGCTGGCCATGCCGAAGAAGTAGACAAGCAGGAAGACCACAGTGCAGAGCGCCGGACCGGTGGTCTCGTAGTGGATGTGGCTATGCTCACGGTTGCAGGCCACGCTGGCGTGGCCCATGACAAGGCGCACGAGGAAGCCCAACGACACGAAGAGGTAGCACGCCGACAGGAAGATGATCGGGCGCTCGGGGTAGCGAAAGCGCTCCATGTCGATGAGGAAAGTGGCCACCGTGGTGGAGGTGGAGACGAAGCAGAGCACGGACCATAAGCTGATCCAGAAAGTGGCGAAGGTGCGCTCGTCCGGGCTGAAGGTGGGCTGGTAGCAGGGCACCGCGCAGTTCAGTACCCGGCCGGTGCGCACCTTGTTGAAGAGCGGGTGCGTTTCCCTCACGATGGGCACGAAAGGATCCCGACACTTGCAGGCGCCGCACTCCCCGCCAGAGGACGCCGAGCTGCGCGGGGCGGGCAGTGTGGGTTTGGCCGGGAAGGGCCGCGGGGGGGCCGTAGTGGCTTCGCTGCGGTTATAGTCCATGCACAGGGTCTCGGCGTCCCCCAGCACCGGGAGGCGGTCGCAGTTCATGCGCTCCGGCCAGGCAAAGCCGTACTGGCGCATGAGCGGGGAGCAGCCGGCCTTGGCTCGCTCGCACACCGAGCGGCAGGGAGGCAGGGGCTTGGGGTAGTCGGGCAGGCAGATGGGCGTGTACATGGAGCACAAGAAGAAGCGCAGGTCTGGCGAGCAGTGGATTTCCACCAGGGGCCAGAATTGGTGCACTTCCAGCCCAGCCTCGTCCTGGGTGTCGTGGTTGAACTGGTTGGGCATGTGCGTCAGGTTGTAGCCGATGCCCCTGCACATGGGCACCGTGATTTCCTGGCACACTAGGGCCTTGGAGGAGGCCTCTCCCCGCCCCGCCAGCTGCGCCAGGAGCAGCAGCAGCAGCGACAGCAGTGGCGGTGGCGGCGGCCCCGGCAGCCCAGGCAGCGAGTCCAGGTCAGGGCGAGCCATCTCTGATCTCTGCCCCGCTGCCGAATCACTCCAGCTCCGTCCCCTTTCTCCTTTACCCTCCTAGGAACCAAGACTGGCAGCAGAAACGGAAACACTTTTCTCAATCCTGGGTAAGGCTGACTTCTTCAGTCTTTCAACCTGTTGGTTTCTTTCCTTTTTACGAAATCCCTCCCAAGACAAGCTGCCACGAAGCGGCTCCGGCGCCGCTGACTGGGCTTCAGCTCCTAGCCGGCGCCGCTCCGGGGATGGGAGTGTGGATCCAATTCCGGGAGCAGCGATCTTAAAACAATAATCACACACACACAGACACACATACACACACTCGTTATGAAAGAAAGGAAAGCAATGAACAAGTTCAATTGTCCCTTAAATCCGGGAATCAAACTCATTAATCTCCCCCGCCTTCCTCTGGGTTCAGGGTCAGACCGATCCGAGACCCCCTCACCTCACACCCCTTCCTCCCCGTGGGTAAGGGGAGCAACGAGAATCGGACCCAGAACAGAGCTGGGGTGGGGTGGAGTAGATTAGGGGCCCGGGACCAAGCAACTCTCACCTCCTCGAACCGTGGGCAGTTCTCGGCCGGCCGCCTGCGGTCCTGGGTCCTGGGTCCTGGACACTTCGCTGAAAACCACGGATGGAGATTCAGAGCTGAGCCTGGCCCAGGGAGCTTCTTTCAGATCGCAAAGTTGGGGAGCGATGCAACGAGCGCCAGCGGCGGCACATGGCAGCAGGTGTGCGCGGCAGCTCAGGGAAGGGAGCCCGCTCGAACCCCCCGACCGGGGGACAGACAGGCTGGGCTCTGAACTCCCGTGGGAGCCGGTCACTCCCCCTCTCCTACGCCTCCATGTCCTCCTCCTCCTCCCCGGCCTGCAGCTCCCAGCATGATGGGCAGGCAGGAGGCGGGGCGCAAGGCTTCAGGGTCCCCGGACCCCGCTCAGGGCCACTTCACCTGGGCAGGGGAGGGGTGGGTAGAGAAGGAACAGGGATGAGGGTGTCTCCCTAGCTTCGAGGGCTGTGTCCGCAATCTGTCCTCGCACCCGGGTCTTTGGGATTAAACTGGGCAGTCGCCGATGTCTGTCCCCGCTTTCCTCTTCTTCCTTGGAGCTCACAGCAAGTAGATTCCCGTGTCAGCGGCTCTCCCGGTGCCGGACGCGCTTCGCTCTCTCTCCTCCCAGCGTCCAGCGTTGCCTGCCCGGGGCAGAAGCAGCTGCCCCGCTCAGGCTCCGGCTCCGGCTCCGACTCCGCCCCCGCCCTCCGCGCTCGCCCCCACCCCCGACTGACACAACAGCCCAGGAACCCTAGCCGCGGGCCGACCGGCCTCTCCACCCCCTCCCCTTGTCACCTGCCTCCTAATGCTCCGCCAGAGGCCACGCCCCCTCCGCTCAGCCCTGCCCAAGGGCACGCCTCCTCCGAGAGGGGCAGCACATGCCACGCTCACTCCGAGTCTCCTCCCACTGCCCCACCGCCTCGGCCTCCAGGTCCGGAATTGTGCAGTTCGGGCAGCACTCGCCAATCCCCAGGCTGGAAGACCACAGTGGGCGGAGCCTATGCTAATCTTACCGTCTTGAGATCCAGAGCGGGAAACCCTCCAGATTAAATTCTCCCCTCCCTGTCTCCCGCGCCCCACCCCCATGATTTGGGGTTCTCGCTTTGCTTTCTTGCTCCCTCACTCACTCAGCACTTGTGGTTGCTGGCTCTGAGGTCCTGTCTCTCCCCTCTTGTAGTTAGGCGCCTTACAGATAACAGCTTTAACAAAGACTAGGGTAAAGAATTATTCTTAGCTTCCCACCTGTCTCCCTTTCAGTGGTGCACTAATGTCAAACCTTCACTAGACTGGGGATGAAGTAAAAAAAGAAATATGTCAGGCCTCTAACAGCTGCCCCAATCCTGGGTCCACTCAGAACACGAACAAACCTACACAACGACAAACGTGCATACAAACCTGCGTTTGGGAAATTTAACCCAAGTGGGTGCCGAGATTGGTTTGCAGTTTCCGGCAGAGAAAAAGAAAATATAATCAGGGAAGAGGTGACAATGGGGAGGTAAGGAATGCTCCCCCCCACATACCCGCCAGCGCTCAGTAGGGTTAAGCCGCTCCCCAGCCCCCTGTAGGGGTCCTGTGGTGGTGCACAATGCAACTGGAGACTCGGGACAACCTGCTGGGACTCCTTACTGGTCTTACAGTTGTTGCGCTCTCTGCTTAGGTTATTAGACTGCAAGTTTTAAATGTCCTAAAGAGTCTTCCTTCTGAGTTGTGATAATTAGGTAGGAACACAGAGGTGTTTAGCATGCCTGAGATGTCTTTCATTCACATGCAGAAAAAGAGGTAGGATTTTTTTTTCTTTCCTATTTTGTTTCTCTTCCCCTCCCCCTCTCCGGGGGAAGAAGGCTAGTGAATCCATTGGATGTGCATTAATGGATTAGGTTTATCTGCTCCTTAGCCCTGCAGTAATTGAGTCTCGAAGTCCATCTATAAAATGGAAGTAACAAACCCCCCCCCCCCCATTGAAAGAGCACAGATTTTTGAGCTAGAAGAGATTTCAGAGATCATGTAACCCAGGAATTCTTAAACTGGAGTCCGAGACATCTCGGGTTTTGTTTTGTTTTTTTTTTTCATATACATATGTCTGCATATATGTACATGCATACACATCCATACCTAGAGAGATTTATATAGGGGGACATCAGCAGAGAGATACATATATACATATTGATAACTATTTCAATACAACTTCTTTCCTTTGTAATCCAATGTGTTTTATGCATTTAAAAACATTCCAAGAAGGGATCCATTGGCTTCAATGGCAGACTTTGGGCCATATTGTTGTTGTTTGTCCTTCGTTCTCAAAGAGAGAGTGAGGCTGGTGACTTTGCACAGTCTTCCCTCACTTAAATCCAATTCACTTGCAAGGTCTATGACACCGCTAAAGGTTCTTAAGGAACCCTGATCTAGCCCAATTTTCTAATTTTATAAATGAGGAAACAGAGGTGAGGCGCAGAGAAGTGGCACAAAGTCACACAGATGGCAGAGGCAGACTTCTAGACCAGGTCTTCCAAGTCCAAATCCAGCATCTTCCCCACTGTCCCAAGCTGCTTGCTTACTCTCTGCTGTTAATAAAATCAACAAGTATTTATAAGGGCTTACTAGACACTGCTAAGTTCGAAGATACAAAGAAAGACCAAAAACGGTTATGCCCTCACGGAGCTTATGCTCTAACAAAGGAGATAATGTGTACACATATAAGTATAAATAAGATACAAAGAAGGTAGATACAAGGGAGCTTTAGAGGGCATAAGCCTAGCAGTTGAGGGATCTGGAAAAAACCTCTTACAGAAGGTATGTCTTGAACTGAGTCTGGAAGGAAACCAGGAGCCACAGTAAAGAGGGAAAGCAGCTTAGGCATTGCAAATGAGGATCAGTAAGGTTGTGGGGTGGAGTAAGTGGAAAGGAGAGAGAAGACTAGAAAGAGGGGAAGGAACCAGATTGTGTAAACAACCTATAGCTTTAAATGGTAAACATAGGAGTTTAAAGTTGATGCTGGAGGTGATAGAGAGCCACTTCAGATTATCATATCTGGGCTTTAGAAAAACCACTTTGGCAGCTATCTGGAGTATTGGATTGGAGTAGGGAGAGAGACTTGAAGCAAAAAGAGCAGCTAGGAGGAGATGAAATAGTCTAAGCTAAAAATGATGAGGGCTGGACCTAAGATGGGGGCTGTCACTAGAGAGAAGGGAATGGTTTAGAGATATTGTAGAGACAGGAACTAGGATGTTAAGAGACATCATTGAGAATTGTAGAGCTGGAGTTTAAGTTTTGAGGTGGCCAAGGTTGGCTACAGCACTGGAGTTTGGGTCTGGGTACCAATCCTACCCAAATGACTTTAGGGTTCTTCATTTTGTTCACCTGTTTTTATCATCAGAGAGATGATCTCTAATTTATCGAGTACTGAGAATCAAAAGCGGTTCTTCTCTGAGCCTCATTTTGTTTATCTTTACAATGAGGGCTCTGAATTAGATTATTTTCAGAGATGAGGAAAGAGAATAAGCATCTTTACAGTATCCACCAAGTGCCAGGCACTTTACAAATATCTCAACTGATCCTCACAAAAACTTTGGGAGGTAGGTGCTATTATTATTCCCATTTTATAGCTGAGGAAACTGAGGCAGAGGTTAAGTGACATGCCCAGGGTCATACAACTAGTTAAGTGTCTGAGGTCAGGGTTGAACTCAGATCTTCCTGATACTGGACCCAGTGCTCTATCCATTGTGCCACCTAGCTGCCTAAGTGGAATTGAATTTAAAGAATTTGTAAAAAAATTACTACAATGAAGATGAAATTTATACAACACAATTTTAAGTGATCTGAAGTATGGGACAATATACCAAATATCATTGGACATAAGGACAGAGAGACCTGAGTTTAAATCCTCCTCCCCCACTCACATCTGTTTGATGGAGAGAAGGTCCTTTAATCTCTCTAAGCCCATTTTTTTTCCCGTCCTTAAGTGGATATAATATTTATAGTACCTACCTCATAAGGTTGAAGATCAAATGAGATAATGCATGTAAGGTGTTTTTAAAAACCTCATAGTTACTATTCTTTTTTTTTTTTTTTTGAGGCAATTGGGATTAAGTGACTTGCCCAGGGTCACACACCTAGTCACTAGTCTGAGGCTAGATTTGAACTCAGGTCCTCCTGAGGACTGGTGCTCTACCCACTGTACCACCTAGCTGCCCCTTTATTTATATTTATTTTATGGAGGAATGTATATGTTGTTTCACGTACAATTTGTGTGAAACATTACATAATTATGTTGATGAAATCCAAGCTCAAAGTCAAGCAGTTATAAATACCCATTGCTGTATATGAAGGAGGCATAAGTAATAACACTTCCCAGCTTTTGCAGCACAGCCTTCATTACTGAAGGTTCTACAGATGTTTATATTTTGAATTTTGGAAAGACTGAACTTGACAACTGCCCCAATGGGCAAGGGGAAGAGAATCTCTTAGCAGTAGCTGCAGAGAATAGTAACGGCTAAGAAAAGAGAAACATTATTCAGTGGAAAATGTGTGGAGACTGTGATCGTACCAAATGAGGGGCTGTGTCTCCTCCTGAGTTCTGGGCAGCAACTTCTGCTCTGTTGGGACTGGACAAATATTAGTAGCGAATAACCACCCCTCCCCCCAGTAACCACCCCTTCCCCCCACTGAAATTGGAGAATGATAATGACTGTCACTGGAATTTGGCCAAAACAGTTGTGTTTATTGGTTGGTTCTAAGTGAAAAAGGAATCATGGCACCTATTGGTTTGCTAACCCTACTTTCTTTCTCCAGTTGTTCTTTAGAGGTCTTCTGTTCGAACACAATCCAGCTTAGAGTTCTTATTGTTATCTTTTTACATGTCTAGAGTATCTTCCTCCTGGAATTCACCCAGATATCCAAGTAGGAGAGTATTAATCTCATTTTACAGATAAGGAGGCTGATCCAAAGGTGACTTAACCAAAGTCACTCACTCATTAAGTTCCCATTATGGAACAAAATAGAATCTGTCTCCTGATTCACAAGTAGCTTTTCTATGAAATAGAAAATACTAAATGATAGTAAATGTATTCTAATATTTAAACGTTGTCAGACATTAAAATATTTCCTATGACCCCAGGACAAATAGACTAGAATAAATAGAGTGTAAGACTTGGAATCAGAAGCACCTGAGTTTGGATCCTTGCTCAATCCCTTACCAGCAGTGTGACTCTGGACAAGTCATTTAACCTCTTTATTAATCATCCTTTAAAATTTTTTTTTGCCAGGAATTGAAGTTAAGCTTATTGGCCAAATCACTTAACCTCTGTGAGTCTCAGTTTCCTCATCTGTAAAGTGGGAATAATAATATCTGGACTACTTACCTTGCAGGTTTATTGTGAGGAAAATGCTTTGTCAACCTTAGAGTGCTACAGTAATGTGAATTATTATTATGTCATTCTATATATTTTATTCTAATATATTTGAAAGTTCTCTATTTTAGGACAGAAGGGTTGCAGTTTACCTCTTTGATATCTTTTTTGTTTTGTTTTGTTTTGTTTTTTTATTTTATTTTTTACCTTTTTGATATCTTGACTACTGTGATTAGCTGGCAATTTTCTCTGTATTACAGAACAAAACCATCGGATCCAGTTTGCCTCCTAAAATGAGACCAGATCATATGAAACGTACCTTGTTTCTGGGCTTTTTCCTCAGCTGTCATTAGCTATTTCAGTCACTTAGAGATGAGTTAAATTTCACAACGACCAAAAAAGATTCATTTTCTCTTACCAAGGTTTAAAGTGGAAGAAACTAGAAGTCCATCCATTTGACAATGACATTTCCAGATTAGTTCCTCTTAATAACATAGGCTGAATCTAGATTTCCTTTCATTACTGCTCATTTCATTGTATCAAATATCAACACCCAAATGTAGCCAGAGAATATCAAAAGGATATGAGAGGAAGCATGACAGAGTAAATATCAACCTGGCCTCTGAGATATTGATTCACGTATCAATGAAATCACTGTCCATTCCTTTCCCCCTACTAAAGAGATGTTTGTTTGTTTTTTTAAAC